ATACACAGCCCACATTCATATGTATCATACACGATACCACAAACTACTAATGAACATATACAATATAATAGCTCATATACGCACAAATACAACGATACAAAGCAATTACAGTATAAATAACACAAGCAGAATATGGCAGCATACACACCTCAATTTAAAAAAAAAAATAGGACCGGCACGCTATGGGACATCACAATCCTTTATAGGCACAGTGCTGCTAAAAGGTTGCCTACCCCTGTACTAGAGTACAAGCCGCGTTTTTCGGCACATTGTTTGTGCTGAAAAAGCCCCCCTCGGCTTATACTCGAGTCAGTGTCTGTATTATTGCAACTTACATTGCCATAATACAGACCAGGACCGCCGGGCTCATTACAAGCCCAGCGGTCCTGTTGTCACCCGGAGCAAGCTGTTAATTATCTTTACAGCAGCTCCGGTCATCTCTGTTCACCTCCCGCATTCAGCTCCCTGTGCAACTCTTGCGAGACCCGCAGCCGTCAGACGTGGCAACGCTCACGCGGCACACAGACCGCGAGATTTACACAAGGAGCTGAATGGGGGAGGTGAACGGAGCTGAATGGAGATGACCGGAGTAAAGGTAAGCAACAGCTCACTCCCGCACCCCCCGCCCCTGCATAGTATACACCACTGGACCACCAGAGATTTACATAGCCCCCTCCCTGGCCAGGCAACAAGCAGGGAGGGGGGACATTAAAATTAAATTAAACATAAATATTAAAATAAAACAAATATTAAAATAATAAAAATATTAAAATAATAAATAATGCCCTCCCCCCACCCAGTTTATGTATATCACACACTACACAAACACACACACTGCATCCATACAAACACACTCTGCATTATATACACACACACTGCATTCATACAAACACACACATTCTGCATTCATTATATACACACACTACACATATACACACACTGCATTCATTATGTACACACACTGTAAATAAATATTCAATTAATGTAATTTTATTGTGATCTAATTTTATTTAGAAATTTACCAGTAGCTGCTGCATTTTCCACCCTAGGCTTATATTGAGTGAATAAGTTTTCCCAGTTTTTTGTGGTAAAATTAGGTGCCTCGGCTTATATTCAGGTCGACTTATACTCGAGTATATATGGTATATATAATATATATAATATCTTATATATATATATATATATATATATAATGTCATACTAAGTGTATTTTTATATTTATATATACATATATAAATATAAAAATACAATTATAATTAAATTACACACGTGTGTGTGTATATATATTATTATAAAATATAAATAATAAGTGAATAAAAATAATTTTATTCACTTATATATATGTAATTTTATTCTAACGGTATTTTTATATTAATATATATATATTTATATCAAAACACACTTAGAATGAAATGATATGTATATCTATGTATAAATAAATAAAAATAATACAAAATATACATATGTCCATATACATAATTACATAAATAATTTCATAAATATACGTGAAGACTTCAAATATATATTTAAATTCTACGGGAATATTTATGTAATATTTTTACATAATTAAGTAATTTTATTGATTGCAATTTGAGGGACATGCCTGACAACCCAGGACAAAAGTCAAGAGAATGTAATTTGCTAGCACTGTGTTTAACCCTGTAACTTTCTATGACACCCTAAAACCTGTACATGGGGGTACTGTTTTACTCGGGAGACTTTGCTGTACACAAATATTAGTCTTTCAAAACCGTAAAACATATCACAGCGATGATATTGTCAGTGAAAGTGACGTTTTTTTCATTTTTCACACACAAACGGCATTTTCACTGATGATATTATTGCTGTGATACGTTTTACTGTTCTGAAACACTAATATTTGTGTTCAGCGAATTCTCCCGAGTATAACAGACCCCATATGTAGAGGATTTATAGTGTTTTTGAAAGTTACAGGGTCAAATATAAGGCTTGATTTTACTTCTTTTTTTTTTCATTGAAATTTGTCAGATTGGTTATGTTGCCTTTGAGAGCATGTGGTAGCCCAGGAATGAGAATTACCCCCATGATGGCATACCATTTGCAAAAGAAGACAACCCAAGGTATTGCAAATGGGGTATGTTCAGTCTTTTTTAGTAGCCACTTAGTCACAAAGACCAGGCCTGGCAGGAAAACGAGAATGGAAGGAACGCACAAGGCGAGGAGCATGAACAGCGTCAGTGGAAATCCAGCTGCGTTCCTCAGGCCCTTAACCCTTCCAATGCACCAGGTACTGGAGGCGACACCTGAGAAAACGAGAGTCAAGCAATGCAGCTACTTCAAATTCCTCATGACCCTCCACAGAAACAGGAGGAGGAGGAGGAACACGCCGGGTATCACGGTTACACAGGAGGGGTTTCAACAAGGAGGTGTGAAAGACGTTAGGAATACATAGGTTTCCAGGAAGATCCAAGGCATACGAAACAGGATTAACTTTATGTAAGATACAAAAAGGACCGATAAAACGAGGAGCCAACTTCATAGAAGGCACATGAAGGCAGATATTGCGAGTGGAAAGCCAAACCCTATCCCCCACGACATAGGAAAACGAGAGAGAAATATCCATCTACATAGTTACATAGCTGAAAAGAGACTTGCGTCCATCAAGTTCAGCCTTCCTCACAAATGTTGTTGCTGTTGATCCAAAAGAAGGCAAAAAACCTGGTCTGAAGCGCTTCCAATTTTGCCACAAACTAGGAAAAAATTCCTTCTTGACCCCAAAATAGCAGTCAGATGTCTCCTTGGATCAAGCAGCTATTACCCCACTAATTAGAAATTATATTCGTGTATGTTATGTTTTTGTAAGTATTTATCCAATTTCAGTTTAAACATCTGTATGGACTCTGACAAAACCACCTCTTCAGGCAGAGAATTCCATATCCTTATTGTTCTTATTGTAAAAAAACCTTTTCTTTGCCTTAGATGAAATCTCCTTTCTTCCAGCCTAAATGTGTGACATTGTGTCCTATGTATAGCCCTGTTTATGAATAGATTTCCAGATAAAGGTTTGTACTGGCCCCGAATATATTTGTATAAAGTTATCATATCCCCTCTCAGGCGCCGGTTTTCCAAACTAAACAGATTTAATTTTTTTAACCTTTCTTCATAACTAAAATGCTCCAT